CCTTTTTGCCGACGGGTTTCTTCAGGGAGCTCAGGAAGCCTGTCTCGCCCTCTTTCGCTGGAGGGATCTTGTGTCATCTCATGTACAAAAACAGAGACACTCTTGGGTTGAGGGAGGTCTGAGCTGTATGCCTGAAATTATCCAATGTGCACGGTTCGAGGTTTAGAATGATAAGAGCTCCCTCTAGAGGTGCTCCTCACACTGCAGTTTGCTCCCTCACATCTGTTTGCTCTCCTCCCTCCTGGATTCACTTAGTTCTTTTGTTTTCTGTTGTAACGATGCAGATTTAGCCCATTACAGGCATTAAGGCTGGAGGGATTCTGTAAGGGGGGTCTCGATGCGACACAGACCAACAACGTAATATAATTACAACAGGCGTGAAAAGCTGACATCAGCTGACACCTGCCTCTCTTGGGGTCCGGTGACTCCGACTGAGATGATCTCATGCAATGAGAGCATCATTTTGTGCAGTGACCCCTTTCACTCTTCACCTCACCTTCTGCCCTCCTTTACAAAGACACACACACACACACACACACACTCCCTTTTTCCCTGCACTCATCCATTTTCTCCAGCATCTCCTCTGTGGCTTTAATGCAGCCTAAGACGTGTCTGCTCTGTCAGTCAGACTCACTGTCTTTTCCACTCATTAGACTTAAAGGAAGGAAAATGTCTTTGTGTTTGCCATTTTTGAGTAACCACACACACACACACACACACACACACACACATAAATTATTTACACGTCTATCAGCATTAATGCACCAGTCAATTACATTACAGGTTCAACCTATAAGTTATGAACAGCTTCATATACCATATATTTGATCTGAGAGAATAATGACTTGCTGAAAGATATTGACTCGTCATCTTGCCCTTGTACCAAATTATCTCCTTCTTTGCTCTGAACCTAAATATTGTAACATCTCAGGTGCTCTGAGCTGAGCCACACTGAAATCTCTCTTTGTGCTTTTGTTCTTTCTTGCACTTTGCTCTGATTCTTCTTTCATAATAGCAAATCTGGCCTCTATCTGCAGGAAACCGAATGCTCCCCGCCCACAGTGTATGTTCCGCTGAGAATATTGGAACGCTGGTCCTTTTTTTTTTGCCCTCTCTCTCTTCCCAGCGTCTGTCTATTCAGCAGTGTCCCTGTCTCTTCCCCCCTCTCTCTGTTCTGCTGCCCTGCTCCCATGGTCTTTTCTCCCTCGCGCTGGTCTTTCATATATAATGTATGTTAAACAAACAGACATGTCAGAGCCACTCAAATGCATGGCTGTCCCCTCGCTGCTGATCCATCCACCCTTGGTGGGAGGGTCACGTCTCAGAGGCCCTCGTGTGAAGCAAGGCCCAGATGAACCATGTGGTCGTCTGCATCAGACACAAACTGTGCTTTGTAAAGGGGGGAACAAAAGTGTCATTTTTATGAACAAAAACTACAATACCACGTCCCTGAAACTTGGTGGAAGAATGGGACACGGAAGAACCTGTGAAAAGAAATTTGCGATGGATCCAGACAAAGGAGTGGATTCAGGAATTTTATATCACTTTCTTTAACATTGCATGATGGGCTGTTTTTATTTATTATTTATCAATTTCCCAGGAAATAATTCATGGATCTTGATAAAAAAAATACTGCTGAGTTCCGGGAGAATGTGCAATCTCGTGTGGCTTGGACTGTTGGGCCTCTGCAGAGGTGTGTGCTGTGCTGAGGGCCATTCTACTTTTGTATGTAAATGTAATTCCTCTGTTGGGGATAGGCTGCAGCTTTCGCTCCCTCACTCTCTCTCAAACACACACACGCACGCAGGAACACAAACACAAACACACACACACACACAAACACACACACACACACATTTTTCAGGTGCAGAGGTCTGTAGAATGGAGCCATGGCTGCTCATATGGAAACTGTATTATTTTCCGTGAGAACTGCGGAGCGTTCAATGCTGTGCAACATCCACCAGCGGCGTGAGCATACAAATGGAGTTTGCCACTTGACAGAGAGCGTGATGGGGCCTGAAAAGCATAAAGGTATGAGTGGGATCATGCTCGATCGCTGGCAAAGTGAGTTCATTTTCATTTTCCATACAGAATATGCTCCACTTGTGTTGCAGGGATATAATGCAAAAGGACAAAAGTGCACACTTCACAGGCGCATTATCCAGCAGTCGTACTTGAAAGCTCCCACAATGGCAACATGTGTGAAATGTCCTTAGATCAGTAGATCACTGTATTTCATCTTTGTTGAAGACTTTCACAATGAGTCTCCTCAGGATCAAATAATCATATAATTCGAATGCATCACATAATAAAGTCATTAGAAGTTCATAAAGGTGGATGAATTGTGCCCACCTGGGCAGTAAGAATTAATAATATGAATAAATGATGGTTCTCTCCACTCTTTCCACCCACTGTAGGCAGAGAGAAAGCTGGATTTATTCAGACAGCTAATGCACACAGTGACTCAGAGTTTATACTGTGTGTGGAAGAAATGGGCTCAAGAGGCTTTTCCTCTCACAGAAAGCAAAATATCTGTCCAGGAATAAGATATTGATTAGTCATTTCCCCGAGCTGAAGCTGAGTAAACAAGGTAAGCAGACATGTGACCGCCGCTTGTTGATAATTGTTGTCTGGCAACAGTCAGAGGGCATTTCTCTGAAATGATACACTAACACAGGGCTGACTGTAAATCCGGTATCGTTAACATTACCTGTTCATGAACAGACATCTGATAAACACACACACACACATCATCTGTTTGGTATTCCTGTCAGTAAATCTTTTCTGCAGAAACAAAACAATCAAATATTTATTCCCATGATTAAAATGTTCTACTTCCCCAGTATGTAAAACAACACATCCCTCGGCATTGACATTAATGTTTGAGCTGCTTGTTTAGAGGAGGATGCACCAAGGTGGAAAAACCATTTGGTTTTTAAATATCTAAATGAACAAGAAAAACAAATATTATCAGTTTGTAAAGAGCTCCAAAAAGAAAGCTGTTGGTTATGTAACAACTAAGCGATCCATCCAGTTATTCTGTGGAGTTCAGTGAGACAAAGATACAGAAGGTTGTATTACTTATCCAGGATGTGAGATGGAACAGTGTTTGTCCAGTAACTCTCTGACCCTGATGCCCTCAAAAGAAAGTGCCAGGCAAGAATATCCTTATTGCCTGATGAGATCATTATATACCACTATGACTACACCTGTATAACCTGGTACAGTGGTATAAGTAAAAGAGCAAAACATTAAGAGTTCAGATCAAACTCATAAGGTTTGTCCGTAATCTCAGACCAAACCATGTTCAAAGGTTGATGGGCTCCCTGTCATAGGTATTTCTTTACCATATATAGATCACTGGTGACTTTTATCCTAAGACTTTGTTCAAATGTATTGTTGAACTTACAGTGTCCTATAACTATAAGAAGCGTGGACTTTTTTAGAGTTCAGGAGACTGTGGCAGGACAAACTAGAACATGGCAGGCCACCACAGTCTGAATAATTAATAGGAAACACTGCTTTGACATGACAAGATAGGGCATCAGTGGCTGCTGCTCATAAACTTTTCTCCTCCAATTTACTAAGTAATACAATCCAGGCAGGTACTGCAAACAAACGGCCACAACTACACATACAAATACAAAATGTCCTGGATTCAGCCTCACCCATCCCCTTTTCTCTCCCCACACTTTAAATGTAGCAGAATGCTGCAAATGTTTGTCTAATGTACAGTGTGTTTGTATTAAACACAATATTATGTATTTTATTTTTGTAATTCCTATCAGTTCACACGTCGTGGCTGCTGGATTTGTACCACTGGTCCTTTTTTTGCACAGATATTTGCACTCTGCATATCTTAACTTTATCAAAACTTTGTGTTATTGTGATTATATTTGTTAAATAAAAAGATCTCTGACACGCTCCACTACGTCATGGAGGAGTGCAATGTGTAGTTAGTACCACCAGATGTCACTTAATCCTCACAAGCAGGGTTTACGGCTGCATTGAAATCCTCCACCCACTAGATGGCAGCACACAGATTACACAGTGATGTATGAAAGTACACAAAGATGAAAGCCCGGCAGAGGTGAAGAGGAAAGAAAGTCTGTGATCCAGCAGCGGAAATACCTCGAAACAGCCTGTGATCTTCTGCTGACCCCAGTGAATGGTGAGAGTCTCGTGAGAAAACATAGTGTTTGCTATATGAAGAAGAGAGAGAGGGAGAGAGAGAGAGAAAGAGCGCGAGAGAGAGAGGGACAGATGTGAAGGTGCAGCAAAATAAGTGTTGGAGGGCTGATCATCGAAACAATAACAAAACTATGAATATATATGAATATAACTAAGTCCAGTTGATAAATATTTACTGTATTCATCCTGAAGGAAATCTAGGCATTCACTCATACAGGGCAAGAAAAGACTTCTGGAGGTAAAAGCAAAAGTAAATAGCTGCAAATAATAATCAGTAATATATAAGACAGACAGTACAAAACTCAACAGTAAATTTAACCTGATACCAAATTATAATGTCAGTGTGTCATCAAATAACTAATTAAAGTGAACAAACATCAGTTTGCTTTTACCTCTTTGCATTTTATAATGTAAGGTGGAGCTGCACTTAAATCTACTGTAAAACTTTCCTGCATCAAGATATTTATGTGTATATTTTGGCAGAGAGGACGATAATGGAGGTTATTTAGTCTATAACATAAATGTGCCAGTAGCTGTACCTTATTCTTCTCTAATTTAACTTTTATAGTCTTGCATATTTCTTCATGCCCTCTGGAGGGACATGCTATATTCATTTTGGAAGTGTTACCTCAAACAAATATGAGAATATTGTTATATTTTATGGCTGCAAAAAGCCCTTCATTAATATATATAAATTGACAGTAACTGACTTCAGGATTAAAATAGATTATGTCTTGCGTTCAATATATTGTTTTGCGATTATTTCAGGTTTGATTCATCATCACAGTTTTTCGTTTTCTTCTTCTCAGGAGCTGATTTAAGTTACGCTGAGTCATGGCTAAAGAACCAGCAGCAGAAATCCAGCTACTCAGGAGCCTGAAAGTCAAACTAATAGATATTCTGCGCAGCGACCCCGACTTTGTGCTGCAGCATGCACACTCTTGCTGCCTTCTGTCTGATCAAGGCTACCAGCGGGTGAAAGCCTGCCGTATTCCGAGCGAGAAGGTGACGGACCTGCTGGATCACATCATCCAGAGAGGGCCTGATGCAGCACGGGAACTACTGGAGCTACTGAAGGAACCGGCTCTGCAGGAAACCTTCCCACTGCTTTCTTTTGTTAAGACTCTGCCAGTCTCTACACCAGGTATCAACTAAATCTGCTCAATATTTGAAGCGATCTCATTATTATATTCTGTTTTATATGATGAACATCAAACGTTTCTCTGTTTACACAACAAGAAAGGAAGAAAAGGCAAGCACCTGAAACACAAGAAACCATTCCATTCAAAAAGATCCACAGCAACAGTGAGTCACACTACACTCAAAGCTATTTCCTTTACAACACTGTTACATCACCACTGACTTTTTTCTGCCTCTGTCTCTTTGCACAGGTTCTCGCTTAGTGACAGAGAGGCAGCTGATGACCGTGGCCCGTTCCATCGGCAGATCTTGGCGAGAGATCGGCAGAATGGCTCTGGACATCACCTCTGTGAAGCTGGAGCAGATTGAGGAGGACAAGTCCCAGCACGTGGAGCGAGTGTTTGCCATGCTGTGCTACTGGTGCACCTGCCAGCGGGAAAAAGCCACCGCGGCTCACCTGCACTCCCTGCTCAGTCAGGAGGACTGGGCACTGCCACCGGAGAGAATCGACTTTCTGTTGGAGACTGTTTGAGGCCTTTATTGTCTGTGTGGAACCTGCGGAGACTGAAAAACATTCAAATCGGAAGTCACTTTTTATTTCTCATCAAATAGATGGTTGTTCCAAATTAGTAACAAACAACACTTTTTTTTACTCAATGTTTTTCCTAAGCTTTCAGTGAATCATCTACTTTTTATGACAGTTCAATTTGATAAGAAATGTTTTCTTTTAAAAGATGTGTTTTTATATTTGTGCCTGCAGCACTTGAAATTAAGAAAAACAACTGAGCAGAGCTCAATTCATTATATTGTATCCAAGCTATCTCAGCTCATCATTTAATAACATTGACCTGGACCTGAACGAACAGACCCAGTTGAAACAGTCACACTGACATGGCTCCTGTTATCTACAAAGGAGGACAGACAGGAAGTGCCCGTGTTTCACAACACACTGAATAATCTATACAATAGTTGCTGCCGTTGCTGAATTTTCCTACCTGAATAAAAACAACAGAAATAGGGTTTTAATCTGGTTGAAATTCAGTTAAAAACATTCAATGAAATGAACAATAACTTGTTTCACTCAGTAGAAATTCACACAGGTAACGGGTCTGATCGAGGGCATTAACAGTATGTTTAGGACTTGTTAGTTATTTCAGCTTTATGTCACTACTGCTCGTCACAAACAAAAGTTGTGTGACATTAAACTATGATACTGATTTCTACCCTGGTGGTAAAGTTTTGTAAAGATATTGAAAGCACAACTACATAAATGCACAGTTTAAACAACATTTTACTCAGTTAGAGATATTAATGAATATTTACATATTTCATGAGTGTGACATATTTAGAATAATACAAACGATACAGAAATGGTAGTAATTTTTATAATTTTCTGTTCTTATGCATTTTTTTATTTCCTTTTCTTTTAAATGCCATTTTAACATTCTCTTATGTTACTTAAAAATCAGTTCTCTTATATGAATCACAACTTGTTTTAAGTTGTATTCACATGTTTTTATTTGAATGCATATTGTGTGTAAAGCACTTTGAGCTGAATTTCTTGTGTGAAAGGTGCTATACAAAGACAGTTTATTATTATTATTATTATTCTATATAATGACACCATTGTGTTGATTAAAGAAGCACATGTTGAGTATTAAAGAGTCTGCAGCATGTGTAGCTCCTCTGAGAGTATTTCTAGTTAGGGGCAGAAACTCATACAGTAAATCAGGTTATATTCATATCTTGAGTTCTCTCTGCTGCACTTTCACCTCCTCTCACATCACATTAATGAACTTGACGTGGGACAAAGGTTCCCCCCCCCCCTCCTTCTCCTCACTCTGTACTTCTCCTCTGTGGCCATTTGCTGTGCTCGGCTCTGAGCGGATTAACGAAGGGACAGACGCTCAGCAGCTTCTTAAATCTGTGAACATGTCCGAAACGTCCCCCCACTCGTGTGAGTACAAGGTGCTTTGTCGCTTGTAACCCGGTTCCACCTGCACTCAGTGGGTTTTTTGGAGCTGATCAGATTCGTGTGAAAACCATAGACTGTATATAAAGGTGAAAACGCACGGACTGTGATGTGTTCAGGGACACCCTGTGGAAAACTGTACGTGCAAATGTGTTGTCACCCCACATGTAACAAGGGACTGTGGTCAAGTTAGTTCAAAATTAAATAAATTCAAAACATATGATGCCTGTCTAGCAGAGGTTTTTTTCATGATTAATGTGGCCGAGAGTTGAATTCACCTGTCCTGAGAGCTGATGGTTTAATAAGGACATGAAGAATGTGGTTTGAACCCGGACACGTTCAGTTTTTCAAAACTAGTCAATCCGTCGCTCCCATTACAGAGCAGCCTTACCCTTCAAAATAAAACTCCCATACAGACACAGGAACAGGAAACAGGAAACCCAAATTTAGTGACCAACCTTCCACAGTAAGGCAACTAAATAAAATAGCTTACACAAATAACTTTTAAATAGATAAACGTTACAATATAAAAAACTAACTGGATAAAGTTGATGATAATAATACATATTTTAGTTCATGAGCTATATTATTAGCTGTCTATTAGCTATGTATTGCTTGTTGTGAGTCTTTTTTCTTCTATGGTATTGATAATCGTGAAAACCGTGAAGCCGTGATATTTCCTCGGACAATCATTGCACCAAAATGTCATATTGTGACATCCCTAGTTGTGTCTTTTTCCTTCTATAGTATCGATACTATATCGTAGAATATCGTGAAACCGTGACATTTCCTCCGACAATAATCGTGGCACCAAATGTTCATATCGTGACATCACTAAGTTTTAGCACTTGACTTTTGGATGTAATTGTTTATGTGTGTGTTATAACAGCAGCAGTGAAGCAGACCCAGAAACCAGACAACCTCCACGACCTGACTGAGCCTCTTATTGACCACACAGAGGGACAACTCTTCCTGAATGAAACCTTCAAGATTATTATAGAGGAGGTGCTCGGCAAGGGCACAGACGTCGGGGAGAAGGTCTCGAGTGAAGCCTAAAAATTCACAGTATACTGTCAGATAACTGTGACAATTCGGGACAAAAACTCACAAATAATTTCCCTGCGGCAGGTTTGTGAGTGGAAGGAGCCGGAGCAGCTGGCTCTGCTGCTGGATCTGGAGCTGAGGGCGACGGGGGAGCCACAGCACAGGCTCCTGCAGAGAGTAAAAGATGTCGCCAAGTACAGCGTCAAGACAAGTGAGACTGCAGGAGACAGTAGACACAATGGAATAGTATGACCTTAATTCACTCCTTTTTTTTGTGCTAATTTCAGGTCACCCACGGTTTTTTAACCAGCAGTTTGCTGGAGTTGACTACCATTCCCTGGCTGGACGATTTCTCACAGAGTCGCTCAACACTAACCTGTAAGAATCAACAAAGTATAAAAGCAGGGGATATTGAACAGGGGATGCCTGGATAAAATATAATGCAAATAATGCAATAGATGAGATATTGTGACTCCAGTAGTGGAAGAAGTATCCACATCTTCAAGTAAAAGCAGCAAGAGTACAGAGCTATCGACAACAAAAAATAATGTATATATCAAATGTACTTTTTACTCACAATGGTCCCTTCACAATGTCATATTATAGTATATATATTTTAAATAAAATAAAGTATATAATATAATGCGGTACAGTACAAAATACAACCTTAAAAAAATGACGAGACATTTTATATGTTATCTGCAGTTTCACCTATGAGGTGGCCCCTGTGTTTGTGCTGATGGAGACTGAGGTTCTGAGGGGGCTGCGTCAGCTGGTGGGCTGGACAGAAGGAGACGGTATTTTCTGCCCCGGGGGGTCGACCTCTAACATGTACGCCATGAACCTCGCACGCTACCGACTCTTCCCAGAGGTCAAAACTCAGGGGCTGTGGGGTCTCCCCCGACTGACCGTCTTCACATCTCAAGAGGTCAGAACGCAGCACTTAATCTGAGGCAGTGAGATAATAGAGAGAAAACGTAGAGTTGTATAAATGTTCATGCTGTGGTTTTTGTGTTGAATCTACATTAAAATGACAAAGTAAAATTCCTACTTTTTTTTTTTACCCAGAGCCATTACTCTGTGAAGAAAGGGGCTGGGTTTCTGGGTTTGGGGACAGACAATGTCATTTTGGTGAAAGTGGATGATGGGTAATGTATTTCTCATTGTAAGAGCTGAGACAATTGATCGATTAACACATTTCTTAATACATTATGTCACATTTTTTATTATCAATTAATGATTCAAAATACCAAAACTGTCTGATTTTAGATTCTCAAACGTGACTCTCTACTATTTTCTCCATTTTATAGCACTGAATATCTTTGGGGTTTTGCCTGTTGGTCACAACATTAAGACAAAAATAAATACATAATGAAAACAACATTTCTAAGTTCATTGAAAATATTTTTTGGTAGTACCTATATTAAATATACTTTCACAGTTATACCTTTGGTCTTTTTTCTATGCTCTTTCATACACTGCAGAGGGCGAATGATTCCAAGTGACCTGGATGAAAAGATAACACTGACAAAGTCTCAAGTACGTACGTCCTCACGTAGCTCAAATACGACCTGTTGTTGATTTAAATCCATAAAGTTGGTGTTGTTCATTCATCCTACAAACCAGAAATCACAGGATACAAGGTTACTATTCACTTTACATCTGTTTTCACCAGGGTGCAGTACCATTCCTTGTAAGCTGCACTGCAGGCACCACAGTTCAAGGAGCCTTTGACCCTCTGGACCACATTGCTGATGTCTGTGAGAAACACAAGCTCTGGCTGCACGTAGACGTGAGTCCCCCCGGTGGAGTATAAAATCCATGTCTATTGACAAGCTGTGGTTTTCTGTAAGCTTGTCTTGTGTTCATTAAAATTTAAGAGCATGCAGAGGTTTGTTTGTTTTGACATTTGTTTCAGGCTGCCTGGGGAGGAAGCGTGCTTTTCTCCAAGCAGCACAGACATCTGATGAAAGGTGTCGACAGGTATTAATATGCAGGAAGATGCATTTTAAATTCTGAGGAAGGCAACAGTTTTCCTTTAATTAAAGCTAGGAAGGATGATGTCATACAGAGGATACAGACATTATGTTAATTAAATGTATGTGTGTGTTTGTGGAATAAGAGCAAATTCCGTAGCCTGGAATCCACACAAGATGCTGGTGGCTGGCCTGCAGTGCTCCGCCCTACTGCTAAAGGACACAACGGTTTGGCTGCAGAACTCCCTGATCCACATCATGATGTTTTAATGGTTTTAATTTATCTGACAGTCATTAATCTGCTTTTTCTCCTCAGAATTTGTTGAAGCAGTGCCACTGTGCCAGCGCCACATATCTCTTTCAGCAAGACAAGTTCTACGACGTCAATCTGGACATTGGGGATAAGTCTCTGCAGTGCAGCCGAAAGGTGGACTGCCTGAAGTTGTGGTTGATGTGGAAAGCTGTTGGTTCTAATGGTTTGGCAGAGCGTGTAGACAAAGCTTTTTTCCATGTAAGGTAAATAAAACATGCAGCTGTACCTGAACACACAGACCTCAAGTCAAGTATCAAAAGCTCATCTTCAAGAGGAGTTTTAAAGTATCTACGCATGGAAACGTGTGCTCCTGCAGGTACCTGGTGGAGCAGATGAAGAAAAGAGAAGGGTTCCATCTTTTGGGTCAGGTGAGTAAATATCTCAGCGGGGTTATTGAGAAACACAAGTTTTTTTCTCCAGAGGGCAAAATGGGGATTAACTTGAATTTGTTTCCATTAAAAGCCAGAGTTTGTGAACGTGTGCTTCTGGTACATACCGCCCAGTCTGAGAGGGAAGGAAGGAGATTCAGATTATCAGGACAGGCTCGCAAAAGTAAATTTATTTTCTTAATAATTTGCTGGAAAAACACAAGATGGTGGCCTCTATGTTTGTTTTTGTCTTCAAGGTATTTACTTGTGCTTGTTTTTTTTTAAAATAAAAGGTGGCCCCAGTCATCAAGGAACGCATGGTGAAACAAGGCACGATGATGGTCGGCTACCAACCTCTGGCAAACAGAGTCAACTTTTTCCGTGTCATTATCTTCTCGCCCCTGATTTCTCAGAGAGACATGGACTTCTTTCTCGATGAAATTGAAAGACTGGGAAACGATTTGTGACCCGTAAACACAACTTATCAGATTTCAACCCCCTTTTCAAACAGCTGTCATAAAAGAGATAGGATGAGCTATGAATTGTGAAAGTCACAGAACAAAATATTAACTATGAAAAAGAGTCATCATTCTTTGTGTGTCTGCAGCCTGTGTTTTAAAGGTGTTTTGAAACTTTTCCAGGCAATTAAACAACTTTTCTGAAATCAGTTTTCTTGAGACCTCCATACAGGAGCAGTAGACCTTGAGCGTAAACCAACTCAGCTCAGAAATGATCAAATATAATAATTCCAGTAATAAATTCAGTCCATCTGCTTCTGTTCACTTCAGAGTTTTCCCTAATGTCTCTCTTTGTCCTCCATCTGTGTCTGTTCTCATGATGATTTCTACTCTGCAAACATTTTCCCAGGAAAATGAGCCTCTTCCTCATTATCGCTAATTGTTTACCATTAACTCGAACAAGAATTAGTGCAGATGTTCTTTTCCCATTCATATTCTTTAACATTGTCCAGACCAGTTTTAATTGGATTTCCCTTTGTGTGTTTGAGCTGAATTACCTCCATGTATTTCTCTTTGTTGATTTAATAACTTCTCTCTGTCTTTGATAAGCAATAAAATGTTCTTTCGATTTATTCATTTGAGCTTTCCTTTTACCTCTGATTGTACTTATTGAAATTAAAGTATATTTAAAAGCAAGTACTAACTTTTACTCAGGTAGAAACGTTAATGTGGTACTTTTATTTTAGCAAAGTGTTTTGTCTAATTATTTGTACTTTTACTTAAATAAAATTTTGAAGTACTTCCTGCACCACTAGGGAAAATGTCACTTTCGTACTCCTACACAGCAGGTGGCGCTACGTACCTGTACACTGGCTTTGAAATCCTCTAACGAACACATTCTTAGACAAAAGAAGAAGAAGGAGAAAAAGAAGAAGAAGACCCCCCCCCCCCCACCTCACGATCATGGCCGCGAATGTGGGTCATCCCGCTCACGTCACGTGACATCGCGTCCGACCAATCAGCGCTCTCCCCCGCGGAGCGCTTCCGGTGGTGTTTCCTGTCAGTGTTTGTAAACTGAGGAAAAAAATTGGAAGTGCGACAAGAAACAATAACGTAGAAACTGTGAAACCCGGAAGGTAAGTGGTGGAGCTTCTAACACGGTGGGCTGGAGGCTCCTGGCGGGGTTTATCACCCTGTAGCCGGGTGTTTGTAGCATGTGTGGCCGGGGAGAGGTGTTGTTTTGTGCTCGGCGCTGAGCCCGCACGCCCTGACTGCCTGGCTGTTGTTGTGTTGTCCGGGGCGGGGGGTGGGGTGGGGGTCCACTCACACAAGAGTTGTCCCTAAACCCAACTACTGGCTAGCTAGCTAGCTAGTTAGCCTTTTCTGTTTGCCCCAGCAGGGACTCTCCTTATACTGCACACTCTTCAACCTACACTGTATCTATCTATCTATATATATGTGTGTGTGTGTGTGTGTGTGTGTGTGTGCTCCTCCAGGTGTACATCTGATACAGCTCACCTGTTCGTGAAGGGCCACTTTTCCAACACGTTATTTAATCGTTATTTAATCTCGTTCGCTAACGAGAGCTGAAGTTATCAGTCAACGAGCACGTTTGTTGTGTTTGGAATGTGTTTACGTTGCTGGAGCATAAACTACATGGTTACCAATGAGCAAGACTCACAATCCAAACCATCTTCATCAGCTGTAAATGTATCCACGAAGTACTTTAAACATCTGATGTGTCCACCTTTAAAAAAGCACCAGTTCTCCTCTGCACGTATGCACCGTTTCTTTAAGCTAAACCGCAGGTCGATTGTAGCAACACTTAGGATTCTGAGGCTTTTTAAAAGTCTTCTTTCTTTTCTGATAATCCCAGATTACACTTCAGGACGTTGAGCCATGTATTTATGACTCTAGCTTTATGTTTGGCTTCGTTGTCATGCTGCAGCACTGATCACATGTCTCTGATGGTGTAATACATCTGCCACATCTTCACCTCATTCATTCATTTAATTAACAGGTTACCCAGCTTTCTGTGAGGAAAGAGGTAGATTCACAGTGAGGATATGTAAATATACGTCACTGCAAGGTCTTTTCTCAGAGAATAAGAAGTAAAAAATGATTTCTTCAACCACAGCTCCTGGAAATATAATGGGTGTCTATCATCTTATCAAGTTGTCGGTTTGTGTTTCTCATTACATTCTTTACCGTATTCGTTTGCACTCATTACTGAGATGCTGAGGTTTCGGTGAAGTTTTGATCACAGATACGCTGTATTAGTAAGTTCACATTTAGATCAAATTTAACATTCAACATTTCTAATAATTAATTGCAAGTTTGTGTTTATACAACACATTAATGAACAAAGAATATTTTTATCCCAGGTTCTAATAACTAGTTCAGTAGCTAGTTGAAAACCCAGGAAGTCAAACATTTCAGTTTTTTTTGTCAAAAAATGTAAAATGTGCACTAAATGTTTATAAAATACTCAGGATAGAACGTACAGGCTTATTGACTCTCTGTAAAACCACCAATCTTCACTTCACTACACTTAAACTTGAGATGAGAATACTGCAAATGTAGAAGACAACAACAACAAAAAATCTGTGACATGTTTACACTAATTTCTACACTGAACCTATTAAAACAGGAAAGTCGTTTTTGTTGTTGGGTCATTATCATGCAGCGATGTAGAGGTCTATCACAGTGACAGAGCACAGATGTTCATGGAACGACCTGCCTCCTGAAATCCAGTTCACTTTATAGTCACTAACTGGTTTCTAAACTATTTGAATCACCCCAATAATTCAGTTGATTTGTGCCGTGAAACAAAATAATTTGACTTACCCAGATACAATGCTTTGAAGCATCTGTTTATTGGGTTTGTTTTTTATATTTAACAACCTCAAGACAAACCAACTCTGTAACAATATGGTATCAAACAACATTCACTGCTCTCAAACAAAATCAAACTTTAGACCCTTGTCTTCTGCACTTTTCATTATCATTTCAAATATGACGCATGTGTTTGATCATATCATACCTGCACAGATGCTTTTTGAAAATTATCTTGATTATTTTTTTCATCAGATTTTTCTTCTTCTTCCTGATTGATGGTGACATATGCCGTGCACCAAACCACCGGGGCTGCCTATAGATATTAATGCTGGACCTAAATGTCTGTTCCAGATTTGGTCCTTTGTTAAATCTAAATATATTTGTCTGGTTTTCCAACTCCTGATCCCAGCATGTAACAATTTTAGCCTTATGTTGTCGTGCCTCTATTTTCAGGCTTTGGCCCCTGATGATTTGGGTGGGTGTGGTCTCTTCTGTCACCCCTCATCCTGAGTGAAGCCCCCTCTGTTTCCCCCAAACACACACGCATTCAAACCACGGCGATGACACACCATTCCAACAACTCTGTCCGAGACCATATGAAATGGGTCAGTGGAAGTCTTCATCTCCAGAATCCCCATCAGGGTTTTAGTGTGTCCTGACGGCAGTTCATTTGTCGTTTGGTCCCATTTCTCAACCCACCCTCACCTCCTCCTCCCAATCTCCTTGTCTCAGCGAGGAGTGTGATGGCCTCGTCTATTCTGCCCTGACACGTTGTTTGTTTGTGTTGCCAGGCTGGGTTGCTGGGTTGCGAGGCGGTGCTGTCCAGCATGGCCCTGATGCAAGCCAACAGCATCCCAGGCCAGAAGAAGATGATGTCAAATTTGGGCCAGGGGCACAGGGCCAGCAACGAGAGCCAGCAGAGCCACTCACAGCACCACAACCACCATGGACACCAGGTTCACCATGGACAACCACACCACAGCCACATGGGCCATCCCTCAGCCGGGAGCTGCCCTCCCCTGGTGAGAGAGATACCAGCGACAGATCTATGCTCAGCACAGGAGCTTCCTTATGTACAGGGATGAAAGTGGACATGGTTACTTTAACAACATTTTAGTTGTTAATATAGCTTAAAACTTGAGGTAGCTCTAATTCTGTGATGGACTCAAAAAGACATACACACGTATCTTGTATATGACTATATGTGATTATTTAATCCCCCCATTTAGCATTTTCAAATGCTGTTCCAACTTAATTAAATGGTTTATAACAAACTAATGCAGTTGTAAACATATATGAAGATATTTTAAATTCACAAATGTGCTTATAATTAAGTAGCCTGATTGATGCTGTGTAACTGACTGGTTTTATCTATCTTTTGCTTCCTCCTAAAGCTAATCCGAAAGGACGGTGATTACCATTCATCAAAGCTGATGGACGGAAAGGACATGCAGGCAAACCAGAATATGCAACCGAAGAAGAAGCACAAAAAATCTGGGTTATCCAACAAAGTTAAAGAGAAAGTGGAGGTAAGGGTTGGTTCAAAGCTACACCTCTCAGTACAAGTACAAAGATCCACTTGTGATGTTTAGTTCAGATCTAACTCTTTTTGTTTTTGTTGGTAGCATTTACTTCCAGCAGTGAGTATGGATGACGACAGTTCATTGAAAGTGCAGAAGAACTTCATCTGTGACCACTGCTATGGAGCTTTCCGGAGCAGCTACCACCTCAAGCGACATATACTCACACATACAGGTGAGATCTCCAAGCTCTTTTCATCGGGACCTTTCTCTTGTATGAAGATGTAGGAAACACGGGGAAATAATGAGAGAAAAAGAAATGAAATCTCTTGTTAATCAACTTAATGACTGCATTTAAATGCATATTTAAATAGGCTGGTGATGAATATATCCTGTGAAATATGCTTTTGATAAATACTGACTGTTCCGTCTGTGGTTCTTCTCAGGGGAAAAGCCATTTGCCTGTGATGCATGTGATATGCGGTTCATTCAGCGTTACCACCTGGACAGACACAAGCGGGTGCACAGCGGAGAGAAGCCGTACCAGTGCGATCGCTGTCATCAGGTGAGAGGCTCTGCTGCATGTCATCCCCACTCACACTCCCAATTTCGTGCTTATCAATAAAGGCAAAACGGCCAAAGATATATATACATATAAGTTCTGAGCTCTTAACTTTCCATGTACTGTAAGTTTCTGCATTTCAGTCCGCAACAAACAAATACAGCAGTTTTTAAAGTATCAGTATTGATCCGCTGCTTTGACTGAAACACACTTGTTCCTCCATCTGGCCTCAGAACTTCTCACGGACCGACAGGCTGCTGAGGCACCGGCGGCTCTGCACAGTCGGAGTGAGCAAAGAAGAAAACCAGTACTCGCAGGACGCATCTGCCCATCCCGCATCCTGGAGCCCACTACAGCCTTCCAACAACCGCCTGACTGTCTGACCCCCAAACCCTCCCCCCACAGAGACAGTACAAAACAGCCGGCTGAATCTCAGTCATGTCGAAAGCTGGAGCCTGACTTTACTGTAACGGAAAACAGCCCGGCTTGAATCTTTAGTTTGCTGTCATCAGCTCATGCATCGAGTTTGATTGTGGATTTTTGTACTTTTTTTTTTTTATCTATTGTTACAGTCACGATACACATAAAAAGGGAGACAACTAATTCACAATCTCGGACAACAGTTGATGTTATGGCAATAACCTAATGACAAAGACACACATCTGCTTTTATCGGAAAGGTTTTTGGTTTTGCTGCCAAGAGATTCTGAATAGTTTTGACTGCATGGACCTAAGTGCATCATACAGCGCCTCCTGTGTGTCCTGCAATCAGCCCTGGAGCTGCCTGTTACTACACATGGACAATTCACTGAGGGACAAAGACACAGAACCATGTTGCTTTTTAAGTTCTGCTTATTTTGTGTTGATGAGGTTACGACTCGTCTGCCAGCCTCTGCTGACAAGAAGGAACAAGACTAGTGATCCTTGCTGCATCGAGGAAACAGTTATCCTCCTGTCCCATGTGTCTGAACACCTGCATTATGTAACACTAAAGACAGGTTATTTATGATGCTCCTGAAATGTTAATTTCAATTAATTTTGGTGTTAGTTAAGTTGTGTAGCGACTTCTGGCACGTATCCACTGCTGTACCTTGTTTAAAAGGGGTCATGCCCGAGCTGTGGCAGGTGACACTATTGAAACACGGAGCCCGTTCAGACCTGGTATTAACATCCGTCCCGAGGCATCCGATCACATTGATAAGTTCAGGTCTAAGTGCATCCAAATGCGTCCTGAGACTTGATCACTCAGATCACATTCAGAGGTGGTCAAGGACACGTGGCCATATTCATAGCTGTGTGACTGCAGATGCATCCTGGGCCACATATTCAGGATCGCCTGCTCAGCTGATGTCTCTGACCCGCTACAGTTTTACAAAAATGAATCTCAAGTATTTTTACGCTTCTCTGTGTCCATACGTTGATTTGTTTGTGGCCACTGACACAATATCGACAGTAACTACTGCATGAGATTCATTCAGTCCCTCCTGACCCTCCGTCTATATACCTCTCTCTCTTGCTCACTCGTGCTGACACAGTGACATCAGACACATATAGTCAGACTGGGTAAAAACAACATAATGTGCTCGTGATTATTTTCATTTAGCAGGGGGAAGTGAGATCCGATCACAAGTGGTCACAGGAGACACATTCAGGACGCATCTTAACACCAGGTGTGAACATTCAAGCTTAATGCTGTCCACTTGTGATCTGATTTCTCAGGACGGATGTTGACACCAGGTCTGAACAGGACCCCAGTAGAAGGTTGACAGGTTTTGTAGAAATAGCCTTGATTGTTTTTATAAATGCTCTTGAACAAGTTAGTGAGCTTTTTTTATAATGTTAGCTGGATATAGGAACCACCTGTCTGTGGCAAAAATGATCTGTGTGACACACTCTATATACTGTAAATTCAATATGTGTCTTTTCCTAGAAACCACTGTCAGTCTTATTTTTTCCCCACTCTGCGTCATCCTTTCAGAGTATTTCTGATACGTGAGGCTGGGTCAGCATATTGTCGGTAGTCCCTGGGATTTACCTGAAAGTTCCTGAGAGCGCATTAGCCCATGAAATCTCATCAAAAACTGATTTTTTTAACACTGTTTGCACACAGGTGCATCAAAACTATCCCTAGACCCCCAAAAATCATGTTCTCTGTGGATTCTGGGAAAGTTTTTCCTGGAGCTCAGCGGTTTAATTCAACTCTCATGAAATTGCCAGCTCATGCAGCTTAAAGTATAATTTGGCTCATCTGCAGATTTCCAGAGCTGATCTCCGTCTTGACCTGAGCGAATGTGATATGAATACAGTGCCATGTCATTTCATCCCCACTTTAACCTTGAGCATCTTCAGTGAAGATGATAATTTGGGCTAGGCTGAACACAAGTTCTACATGGTGTTTTCTATGATGCTGACCTACATTGTATTACTGTAAGTTATGGCCCTCTGTAGGATCAAATCAGTTTGTGAACACTGGACTGAAGATGGTAGCTCAGTAGTAAAGAAGAGAGGAGTAACATTTGTTTTCTGTTTAGACTAAAACCTGTGTTACTGTAGACTGGTAGTTCTGTTGCTTTCAGACTTTTAGATTGTGGGGAAGGAGACTGTCTACTGTTTATGAAGTTAATATATATTTAAAATGTATTAGGGGTAGAAAATAGTATGTATGGGACCTACACTCCAAAACAAATCAAAGTATTTACAAAGTTATAAACCTTAGTCTGATGATTTCTTATGGAAACTGAAAAGGCCATAATGAGTTATTGTTCATCTAGTTAGCTGGAGTGAAGTAAGAGCCGACTCTTACCAATTTTAGAATAGCAGCCATGACTGTTACCATATTGTTTTTTACATTTTTCTTTTGCATGTATTTGTTGGAGGGACTTGTACATATATATTTTGTTCTGGTAACGTCTTTATTTTAAATGCCAGCCTCAGTTTGTTTTTGTAATTTCAGGGGTGTGAAGTAAAGACTCAGTCAATCAAAACTGTAGTGAATGGAGTTTTAGGCCCCAAGTCTCAATAAAGCTGTTACATTTTTTCAACAAATGCAAGTTGTTCATGTGTTTTACGTCGGATTTCCAGCTCTCACTCGTTCTCTTGAAAGTAAGAAGTTTAATGGAATCGCAGAATATTCCAAAGATCAGTTGCCTTCCATTGAACCTCGATCAACACAAGATTGTATTACATGTTATAGTGCCTGTCTTCAGTCAGCATGAAAAGTTCATACTTATCGAACTGCTGAGCATTTTAGAAGTGTGTAATGCACCAATCATGTCAGCAGGTGGCAACCATGACCATATGAGGGTCAAGTTTCTCTATATAATAGAAATGAAGATGTAGAGTTTCCAGTGTTTCTCTAAGATTGGAGTTAAACAAGATTATGACCCAATAATCTAAAAAAAAAAACAAACATACTACACAGAAACGTCACTACTCAAAAAAGGAAAAGTCCTAAGAGGCAGGTTTGTATAAAGAATCCTATAGGAACTCAATTGAGTGCCAACCAACAACAGTGGTTAATAATGGCCAACAAGAACATTTTAACAATTACATGCTATTGAGAATTGTCTCACCTTTAATTAACACTATAGTTTTGTCATTTTAGCAACACTATACAGAGACTAATCCACCACAAGAGGGAGGTGTGTGCCAAGGTACTGTCTGTGTACAACCTTTCTGAAGTAGTATGACGAACGGTGTAGAAGTAGTATGAGGTAGGGCGTAGTAATGAGTGTCCTGTATTCTGTAGTTATCATAGTCTTTGTTTAGTAAATGTTAAAACTGTGACAGATGATCAAAACACTTAAAGCACAAAGCTGTCACTGATATCGTACTTTACAGTATGCAAACATCAGGTAAAAGTAGTCACAGTCAAAACACATGGAGATCATATAATACACAACAGTCAGTCAGTCCTGTATAAAGATGATCTGTTCAAGTGTTGCTGTTAAGAAGTGATATCGTCAAAGTGGGCAATCAAACAGACATAACCATCTGTGTGATATCCACATTCTTCAGCCAGGAGGAAAGAATTTCTTAAAGTCCACTGCCCAGTCTCTCTGCCTGTGAGGGTATTGCCACATCAGTTAGGAGGTGCAGATCGTACCCTTTAGCACCTTTCTCTTTGCTATTGACCAGTTCTTTAATTAAAGCATTAGGATAGGCAGGATGAGATCAGCCTGGAGGCTGCTGGGAGTGTGCGTTTTCCCCCATGGGAGACATCCTCTCCCTCCGCAGCCTGATTTACAGCACCCACAGGCCCATGGCACTTAACAATGGACCTCCTTAAGTGAGGTAGATGGGGAGGAGATCAGAGAGGGGAAGATAACACTCCGTCTTCATACACAAAGTGCTGAAAATCTGGGTTCGAAATCATCTCTGCAAGACAGACTGATCATGGAGACAGTCCAGAGTGTAAGCGTAGGAGCGCTGCCTTGTACCGAGGATGGCTCACTCCATCAGGGAGGCGAGCACGCTCTAAGACTGATAGCCAATTCTCTACATGCACACCTCTCCTGTCAGAGGGATGAAAAAAAATAGGTCCTCCAAACAGAAATTTCCCCCCAACAACCAGTAAATCTCAGCTGACTGTGCACACTGTGGCTCTGTCAACATCTGGGTGGTTCAGAGGTTTACAAAAACAAGCGCTCGGCAGCAGAAACATTCTGTCTCCTACAAATGTTTGGATGCCCCCTGATCAAATACATCACAGGCTCACGGCGAGTGATTGAAACCCTCCTAACAATGGCTCCTGCTATCTCCCTCTCCCCGAGGTGTGGGAGAGCCTTTTCATCTCAGGCTTTGATTAATAAAGGAATCACTGGTTGGTTGAAAGCAGCGATCTGCCCCCCCCGAACATCCATCATGCACTGTGACAGCCCACCTCTCTGTGTTAATTAGCGGTGATATTTAAGCTGTCTGAGGTGTTCCATGGCCGTCAGCGTCACGGTGCTGCTGCTGCTGCTCATCATTAACATTTCATCTCATCTGTCCGGGTTCCTCCGAGTCGCCCATGTTCCCAAACGTTCACATAAAGAACATGTTCCCTGAGAGTGGACATCACGATATGAGAACACAACTGATGCTTTCCCTTGAATTAAAACAGAAATGTAAAAATCAGATCGAGAGCAAATCTGACAATAAATGACTTAACTCTGAACACTATCCCTGCTGGTGCACCCACTACTCACATACATGCATTTTAATGTAAACCCAACTGTGGCTGCATGATTGTAAAAACTTCAATTTGACTTATCACACTTGCTCAATAATTATTTGATATTATGTGAAAGAATTTGCCATAAATTTCAGTTTCTTGTCAAACAGAGACAGTGTGAATGCATTACTTATTAATGATTACCAAATATTATAATATTCTCTAATACTGGGGGCTATTATGCTGAAATAAATTATGCATGTGAGAAGAATCTAGTTCTGCATTATAACCAAATGGTGTCATGTATTAATATGAGAAATTCAGTGGTGCAGAATTACAGGAGAGCTGGGTACGTAGCAAATGGACAGCCATTTTACAGGAGATGGACAAAATGGCCTCCAAAATGGACAAAGGGTTCTTGTGTTACTGTTGACAAAATGTAGAAAACATGAGGAAGTTAGAGGAGTCGTCTGCCTGCCTCACGACTCGTCTCTGATGGGAACTGTTCTGTCACATCATGCTTCAACCTGTCCCACATTCACACGTCTGCCACTATTTTCTAATTAGTGTAACTCAACCAGATTAATTAGCCTGTGCGCATCATTCCCAGAACTCAAACTTAACACTGAGGAGAAGAGCCGTCATCCACTGACTGGCAACAAGGGAAAAGAAAAGTTTGGCCCACTTACATGTTCTGATTGTTAAAATCATGAATATTCATATTTTTAAAAAAGAACCCCCAGTGACGTTTACAACCTGAATTTTCAAAACTGCCTTTCTGAAAATGCAATTTGGCTTCATGAGGTGAAGTCTGAGAGAGAAAGTGGGCTGAAGAAACAGGGAAAACCAGAATGGCACACAGTTCCCTAAATGTCAAACTGCATTTTTCCACCAGGTTTCTTGCTGCTAACTTACAAACAAACAAGCACCAATGAAAAATATAACCTCCTTAAGTAACTAGAACTCCACCAAGGCCCAATAGTCCCATTAAATTAAATAAACTTTTTGAATATGTGACCAGTGGTTCCTCATACAAGATATTTTCTACATGTAACTGGAGGAACAAACAACATTAGAACCAATGGCTGAATTATTTCACTGCTTCAGTTATTAGTCGGGTCCTCCAGGTTTTGTTCATGCAAGTTCACAGTGACATGGTGTCATGGTTCCCTGCAGGAGCTGCCTGTCTTAGTGACACCTGTGCATATCCTCCCATGATAAACTGTCTGCTGTTACACAAATGTCTAATGTGCAGCACCGCACAGGAAAACCAGGGCGCACGGACTGGAAGACAAATGTGAGTGTAGACAGGAAATTGGCAACTTTATGCAGTCAAGGGCGTTTGTAGCTTATGATCTTATCTCACTCCAGTGACAATAATTCTTTTTAATTCACAGAAATTTTCTGCTGTCACTTGAAAAATGTCAGCGCTAACAAAGAGACGACAGACAGAGGAAGCCCAGAGGCTGCAGAGTGTGGAGGGAAAGTTGCCTAATCTGCCATCTACACCTCCGCTAAGGGTTTCCAGCATGCGTGCATTTACCAAGATCAAGTTCAGTTGTTCGGGACCTTGTTGCTAAGATTTATCTGGCCCAGGAGTCATCCACATTCCCCTTGACAGGACGGACACTGCGGCGCCCTGCCAACTGTGTAAAAATCACTTTCCAACAGAGGTGCGTTTAGCCTCGACAGATACATTAACATGCGTTGGCCTTATTCCACCCTATTAATCTGCAGCTTGTTGGGGCACATTTGGACTGAGCTACTTCTCTGGGGAACAACCCAACCAGCCGCAATGTGGGTCCCTGAGTGTAAGTGCCACCTCAGACTTCACCCTGTTTGCTTATTTGCTTTCCTCCAACAGATTGTCCTCTCACAGGGTGAACTGACATCTGTGATGGTCTTTTAAAAAGGGGCAACGTGCAAAGTGGATGGGTTTCTTTAACTTCATATACAAACTGCTCTCTAATCATCTATGATCTGCTGTTAAAGTCTTTATGTAGCTTAGGAGGATTCTTTATCATCAGCTGCTCTGACAGTGACACCACAGCTTGATTTACAGTCTGCACAGACAAACACGGCATTCAGTCAAATGTCAATATTTAACTGTTCAACAGATTCTCTCGATTCTCTTTGTTTAGAAAAGTGTTTTAGTGAAACAAACTTGATTTGAGCCACTTTCAGAAACTAAAATTGCACTCAGTAGAGTGCATACCATGGCCACCTCCCAACAGTCCCTTCAAATTCAATAAGGTGTACCAAATTTCACACTCTCATAGATATCAGTTTCCTAAATATGCCTGATTTATTTGATTTAGTTTGATGACTTATTCCCCTGGAAAAATGGAAAATTAAAAAAAACCTGCCTATCTCACAATGTTAAAGAAAGTGATTCCTGGATCCAGCCCTTTGACCAGATCCAAAAATAGGTTCTTTCTTCCAATCGTTCCACCAACTTTCAGGGAAATCAATTCAACTATTTTTTTGCATAATCCTGCTGACAGACACGGACAGAGGTAAAAGCAGCTAGGTCAATTTTCAACCACACCAGTGACATGAAGCTTGGGACAGTAATATCAGTCAGTCAGCTGGTCCACCAGCTCCATCCAGACTGAAATATATGACAGACTGCCATAAAATCTTTGCAGAGACATTCAAGTAGCCCAGAGATTGAATCCCGCTGACTTTGGCGATCCTCTGACTTCTCCTTCAACACCACCCGCGGGTCAGGGTTTTCACTTAGCCTGTGAAATTTCTCAGGATCTCAGGATTGATTGGCACAAAATTTGGCACAGATATTCATGTTGATACTCTATCCCACTGACCCTGGTGATCCTCTGACTTTTATTCCAACGCCAAGTTAGGGTTGTGACATTTCTAGTTTTTAAAT